TGCCTCTATCACTCCTCAATTTCAAATAGGAAGAACAAATAAAATCCGAAGGAGTACAAATACGTTATACATTCTCTACAATACGAAAAAAAGTTACTGTAAAACTAATCTATCGCTCTCCTTAATTTCTCTTAGCCTTTTCTTTCTATAGTTCTTTAATTTTAAAGGTTTTTTTTTTAAAAAAAAAATTATTTTATGTAAGATGGTCATTTATGCACCTGCCTTATGTTCGATGTTATATGCGATTTTTTTACGAGGATGTTATATGCAATTTAGTCGTATGGACTCATGGTTGATGTTGTTGTCGTCAAATTTACCCAAAATTAGTGGTGTTTTGTAATTATTCCGTAGTGAGAACTTGGACAAATAATGGCTTATTAATTATTACTATTGCCACTTTAATTTATTTATGGACTCTTAAAAGCGATGAAGAAAGAGTATGGATTGAGGAGATTTCCGGCAAGTTTAAAATATGTCCTTGAACATAGCTCTATTCTTTTCTCTCTCTTTTTTTGTAAAACAAATATGTTTTTTCTCGTTTTGTTTAAGTATATACTTGTATGTATTCCATTAATTACATACAACTTATATCTATTCAAAAATAAATAAATATATAAATAAATAAATAAATAAATAAAATTACAACTATACCATCTCATAGTGAGATTGAGGTCCGAATAAATTGCGTACTGTTATTATAGAAAAAAAATTATATGTACAAAAGTTGATTCTTGACACTCAATGGAGGTAATTGTTAAAACACGGGTCTAGGTCGCACCCACAACTAAAAGAGAGAATCCATTTCACAAGTCCAAAGAATGTTCCATCCCAAAACTATATGGCAATAGGAGGAGTAGCCCCTTGCCACCTTAGCATTTATAAAGTGATTAACTAACTCTCTCTTTTTCAATTAATGTGGGACACTTACATGTAGTGATACTTGGGAGGTCTATTGTTCAACACTCCCCCTCACAATTAGATCCTTTTTTTTTTTTTAACTTTGTCTCATGTGATTTTTCGAGTTAGAGTGTTTCTTCACTCCCCCTCACATGGACCTACTCCTGGCCCAGCGAACTTTAGCCATTTAAGGTCCCATATTGTAGGTCTGGCTTGATACCATGTTAAAATACGGGTCAGGGTTGCACCTGCAACTAAGAAAGAGAGTTTACTTCACAAGTCCAAAGGAGGTTCCATCCCAAAACCATATGGCAATAGGAGGAGTAGCCCCTTAGCCTTATAAAGTGATTAACTAACTCTCTCTTCTTCAACCAATGTGGGACACTTACATGTGGTGATACTTGGAAAGTCTATTCTTCAACAGTAATAGTTACACTTTTAAATAAATTGTTAATGATAAGTTAAAATTATCAGGATAAAATGATACGTAGTATATAGTATGTGATATAGTATACAAATCGGTGTTGAACTTCAACCATTAACTTAAACTTTTGATTGAGATGGTCCTCTAACATGGTATCGTAGCCAATGTGATACAAAGATCACGGGTTCAAATCTCATCCACCCCCAACTTTTAATTAGAATATTACATAATTTCATATGCTTAATTTTTTACACTTGTAGAAAAATTTTGTACACTTATGAATTCAAGTTCCTTGAATAAACTTTCGTTACCCTATAGTATTGTAAGTTCGTTATATATTGGATTCGGAGCCAATGTGATACAAAGATCACGGATTAAAATCTCATCCACCCCCAACTTTTAATTAGGATATTACATAATTTCATATGCTTAATTTTTTACACTTGTAGAAAAATTTTGTACACTTATGAATTCAAGTTCCTTGAATAATCTTTCGTTACCTTATAGTATTGTAAGTTCGTTACATATTGGATCATTACTTTTAGTTTAAAATGAAAACTTTTTACAAGTTCTGTTTTTAAAAAATATCAAAAGAGGAAGGAAAATGACTTTTTCTCACTACAAGATATTGACAACTATTATGACAATCATCACTATTGTGAATGAAATATACAGTTTTTTGAATGATCCTAAAATTAGAGTATGAAACTAAGTTGTGATGTTCAACTTCAATTAGCTAGCTTAGTGTTAGTGAGAAAGGACATTTTTCATATGTATTGGTGAAATAATTACATAATATCTTAAAGCAAGCCAATTCAATGTTTGATAAAAGTATACTACGTATATACTACATAGATCACTATCTCTATTTACTTTACCTTTTTAGTATTAAAATGACTGCCATGTGTACATTGCAAATGTAATTTTAAAAATAAAACCACAATACGATTATAAGGATTTTTAATTTTTATTAATTTTATTTTAATTTAATTTAACGATTTTTAATTGATGAAGGAGATGTCTCTCTCTCTCTCAAATAAACCTGATTAATAATATAGCTTCTTAATGACATAATCCCACCTTCTAGGAAGGTTTGTGCCTAATAAGATTACAAGAAACTTTATTGTTGCAATATAAACTACGTAAGACACTCATGGAAAACACAATTTGAGAGAAGAGAGATGTTCAACGCATCATTGGCATCAACAAAGTACAATTAGGTCAATTACTCATAAATGATATTGCCCCTTATTGCACTTCATCTTATGTTTCGATCATGTTACCATGCTTTGCTATTACTCTTCCATGATATGGAGTACCTAATATATTCCATCACCTAATTTCAAAACCCCCACTTATACTACTAATTAACTAACCTTCGTTCGGTCCTAGTCAATAGACACCTTACCTACATGATTATATTTTAGGTCAGCAGAAGAGAAAAACATTAGGATCAAAGACCATTCTCGTAAAGGAAGCATTGATCTAATAATGCAGTTTAAAATATAATTCAAATTTGTTACAAAGCTCGGTATCTAAATATACTCGTGAAGACTAGGTTACCCACATTAGCAATCCAATAATCCAATCTGTTGCATGAATTGATATGACGAATTTGCCAATAGTCAAACGAGTTGAGGAGAGAATGAATGTCATTGATCGATGATGTAATTGATTTGCCATGAGGTTCATCTTAACCTATACGGATCGGAGTTCATGTACACATAATATTTTTTTGATGCAAGAGTTTATTCTGTTTACCTGTGGTTTGTATTGCTATGCTTACATAGTATACACATATTGACATAAATCATACCCCATACGTATTTGTATTGCTAATCCTTACATGTGATTTTTCTCTATCTAATAATCTCAGTTTCTTTTTGATTATCATGAACTTATTTTCTTCCCATTATTGTAGGTTTCTTGTGTATTGATGCCCTTATATATTCCTACATAGCCAAGTCCTACCAAAAAATAAATGCAAAATTTGAAAATTTTATACATATATCTCGAATTACCAAATTTACTTCATTTATGATATTGTGACATGCATGCATCCATAGTGATTATATAGCCAAGAATCTAGCTAGTAGCTACCTAGTCTACGTACGACGATCGAGAGAAGCATATGTATGCCAATGAAGTACGTGTGTGCTATGGCTATAGACTTCACGGAGCATGGAAATCATAGACTAGATGTTATTCTTGTATTATGGCATACATGTTCTTTTATGAATGACGATAAATGTGTTTTATATATTGAATTTTACGATTTTTTTTGAAAAAATAACACACATCATATATTAATAGACTTAACCTAGCACAAAAAACCCAATGTACAAATTATGTATTGTGGTAAGATAATTTCACATGGACTAAACTTTATAAAGGATGCATTGTATATTGTTTGTGTATGTAATAAATTACTCATATATTTTATACAATGTTTGTGCTACATACAATGTTGTATGTGTCACATATACTCGTAATGAGAAATCTGAAAGTTTTATTTAATTTGTGAAAACACGTGTCAATATATATCATGGTGTTCATGGTGTAGATGCATCTATATAAATAGTAATCATAATCATATTCTTATTAGTAAAGGTATCGTATTAGGATATTATATTATACCAAATTTGGGTTCGAACACCATTATTGCTTTGCGATTTGAATGTAATGGATTTCTGATCTTTAAAATTGAATGCTTTATAACTATTGAAATCACAAGTTAATTTCTGCTTATACTGTTATCCAACATATTGCATAATCTTGCAAACGTGTTCACCATGTGGCATTTACGTACAATGATACATGTAATGCTCTACGACTCTAATGCAAGCCACATTAATATTAGAAAGAATCACAATATTTACAAGTGTCAAATGATGTGGATATGAATTGATACCTTGTTTTGGTTAACACTTATCAAAACTGAATTAGATAAAGTAATTGTCAATTCAACATACATTTAGTAGATACTAGATAGTAATAATTGTACAATCATCATCTACTAAAAAGTTTTTTTTGACAAGACAAGAACTAACTTACTAAAAAGTTAGTTGCGAAGGAAACAACGAAAACTAAATTAAGCTTAGCTTCATAAAATATTAACCTGTAATATATCTAGTTTTTAGATGGAACACTTTGACTTTTATACCTTGTCAATACATTACTTTGATCACTTATTTCTACATAGTAAAAGTTACAAAAACTTGATATTATGTGAAGAACAAACAAGACTAGCTAATCTAACAACACCAATTTTCTAATGTCAATTTTCAATACTAACAAAATTACTATATACATGATCACTAAATTTTAAAGTCATTATATAATCTACATCATATGACTTACCGAGCTAGGCCTAACTTAACTACGCACTGTCACATTTTTTTTCTCATTATCTAACACCTTCTCCAAATCGATGAATTATTGGTGTTACTAAAGTTACCGCATCTGTTTCTTCAAGGAAAATATAAGTAACAAATCAAGCTCGAATCAAAATATTAAAAGACACACCAATCTCACCATAAATTATCATGATATCATTCCATACGAAATTAATTTTAATGATTTCATACCAATTAGTTTTCCTTCCCATCCTCATATAATAAGTTTTTTTTTAGCCTCAATTAATTCCCTACTAGCAAATTAATCAATTAGGCCATGTTTGTTTTAAACATTCATATAAAAAAACCATAAAATTCACATGATATCAACAAAACTAAATCGTTATCAGTATAGTTACAACTTACAAGTGTACCCAATATCCACTACCCACATTATAATTATCATTCTAAGCTTATCTATAATACATCCACCCTCCCTAAAAAAAATATATCATCAAAAATCCCTCATTTATATATTCTCTTATTAAAGAATTATCTTTCACAAATTTCTCAGCCAATAAAAAGTCATACGACATCATTACTAATACGGAATACTTCGTTTAAGATTTACACGAATTAATTTTTTCTATGAAAGAAAAAAAAATCTCACCCAAAAAAAAAAAGAGCAAAGGAGGGAGTCCAAAATTACAAATAGCAAAAACACGTGCAAGTCACGTGCATGTAAAAAAAAAAACCCTGAACCACCGTCACCAAACCTCCGTTATAAATACTTGGTATCACCAAAATACCGTGACACAAACCAATAATGCGTGCCGCTGTTTCCCCGTAATTCATTTTCCACCTTATTATAAAAATCAAAATTATTTTATTCACATTTATACTTATATATTTATACAATTGATTTTCCCCAAATCAAAAATCCCTCTTTCTTTCCAACCCTAACTTTTATATTTTTCTCTCCATTACAAATTCCTCTACATCCCGCTCATTTCTCCCCTTACTTTCTCTCTCCTTTTTCTCTCTCTCCTCCCCTCAAATCTCCATTTTCGCGCCTTCAAGTTCATGAAATTTCTGATCATATAATATAATAATAATCATGGGAAAATACATGAAAAAGGGTAAAATTACGGGGGATGTTGCAGTAATGGAAATCCCTCAATCTTCTTCTTTGGGTGTTCGTACTAGGGCTCGAACCCTTGCTCTTCAACCTAACCCTGAACTTTCTTACCTTCAGCTTCGTAGTCGTCGCCTTGAGAAGCCTCTTCCGCCGACTCCGCCGCCGTCGAAAACTTCTAATTCGGATTCTCGGAGTCGGGTTCGGGTCAACCCGGGTGGGTCCAAGAAAGGGGAAAGCGGTGGTGTTGGTGGTGGAGGACGAGGGCGTTTTCGTCATTTTACTGATGGGGGAGATTCCGAGGATTTTCATGATCTGGGTACTGTTGAAGCTTCCTTTGGAGAGAACAATTTAGATTTTGATTCCAGAGAAAGGTTTGATTTTTATTTTATTTTTTTGACTTTTAATTTGATTTATTGGATTTTTCATTGATTGATTTATTTGGGTTTGTTGTGTTTGGTTTGGTTTAATTTAATTTCAATTTTTATTTTGTTGTTGAAAATTTATTAAAATTAATTGTTGAGAGTGGGATTTCTTTAAAAATGGGTAACCTTTCTTTTTCCAAAAAGATGAATATTGAAAACAACACTTCTTGTTCATGTATGCCATCTGTCAATTTTTTCTTGTTTGATCTAGAATTGTCTTTAATTTTTATTTTTCTTATTGGAACTCATCAAAAGTTCTCCTTTTTTATTTTTTAATTTTATTCAATTTATTTTTCTCAACAAATAAAAAAATAAAGGAATTATTAAAGAAATTAAAAGGGTAACTTTGTTGAAAATTTTTAATTTTATTTTGAAGAGGGTTTTTTTTATTTAAATTTCATGTAATAGGAAAAATTAATTTTATTTATTTATTATTTTTTTTAATTTAATTTCATGGAAATTTTTTAGAAAAAGGGAATTTATTGGATTTTTTTTTGAGTAAAAAAAAAGGCATTTTCAAGTGCATCAAAGGTGGGGGCAAAAAGCGGAATATTTAGGCTCAATCATGTGAGTTTTGGGTTTGCACACATTTGTGAATATAAAGTATCTTCAAAAAATTGAAGCTTTTCAGTTACTACCTCAATTTAGAACCTTAGCTAGGTAGTTGTAACTTTCTCTTTAAAAAGTAAAACAATAATTCAAACTAAGCTAGCTATTGTATTTTTGTGGAATTGTATATCTGTTGTTCATATTCATAATTATCGTGTTCCGACTCCGGTTTAATGGAGTGGAACGCGACAAACCGTCTTATACAGGAATTTGTGCTTGTTAATCGCCCCTAATACAAAATATAGCTTACCTATGACTTTAGGAACATTCCGTGTTATAGCTGGCCAACCAAATCAACACAAGAAATGTAATTTTAGGAACGTCTCATTTTTGTATGTGTTTTTATTTTTGTTTAATTCATATAATATGTCATGGGCCAAAACTTTTGGATACCAAATAGAATCCAAGAATATCTCTTTTAGAAAGCAACTTATGCTTTTGGCTGTTCCTGTTCATTCAATGCACTCTCCCTCAGCTTATCTGTTTCTTTCTCTCATGGCTTTTATATGAAGCCAAATGTTTTCTAACCTTTGTGACCCGTGACCATATATCATATAAAGAATCTAAGATATAGCTCTTTATGTTTATCAATTCGTTTTGGTGTTTGATGTTTATGTAGGTTGGTTACGAGCTCTTTAGGGACGGTTGAAAAACCCGTCTATAGGCGTTAGATGGTGTTGGATTGTGGTATTGTGCGCGATATGTAGAAAACTTTTCCATTGTCGCGGTGTAACCATAATAGAACCATTCAATAGAAAATTTTATTGCAAGGTGGGTGATACAATAGTAGGGGGGGGAAAAAAGATTTTCGCCCTTGCTTTATATGAGTACATAATTAGTTGAGTTAACTTGTCGTAGCTCGTCTGCATCGGTCTTTAGAAACAATATTGCTCTGCATGATATTGCTGCCATTTCATAATTTATATGCAATACTAAAACATGCTAATATTGAACGGTAAAGTAGTAGTAGTCTTAATGAATTTCATGAGTGGTTGGTAATTAATTGTGGTGTTTACGATGGAATTGGGAGCAAAGATGAGTGTTGAATAGTCGGCAATAACTCATTTTGCCATGTGTTTGTTGGGGACCAATGCCAAATCTGATATATGTACTTATGGTTATACTACTATGTTAACTCTTATCTTATAATAAGATAAATAGCTACTAGTTGTCCTTGAGCTTTTCAAATGTAATTTACTGTTTGTCCTTAAAGCCTGTTTCTTTAATGTCCTGCATCAATTTGTTCTGGTCTTTGGTTTTTGACTGTTCAAGAATTGAGTTGTGGGATTAAATTTGTTGTGCATTTAAACTGCAGGAGCACCCGAGAGAGCACTCCTTGCAGCTTGATTAGAGATGCTGAAACTATTGGGACGCCGGGATCTACTACTAGACCGACATGCTCCACTGTAGTAAACAACCGAAGAACTCGAAGTACACAAAGAGCCATCCCGACAAACCCGGAGATGGAAGAGTTCTTTGCCGGGTTTGAGTATCACCAGCAAAAACTATTCATTGAAAAGTAATTATTCTCGCTTTTTACTTGTTTCTTCGGGTGTTTTTCTTCTGCTGCTATGTTTGGCAAATCCTTATATTGGTCGAATTTTATATGTTGCAGGTACAACTATGATATTAAAAACGATATGCCTCTCCCAGGACGTTACGAGTGGGTACGAGTAGACAAGTAGGAGGGAAGAATCTGCAGAAAGCCAATGCACATTTCTTACAAGAAATTATGGAAAAAGGAAAAAAAAAAAAATTAGAAAGAATGTGTAACCTGTGATTTGTAACATAAGTGCAGCTGACTAAATGTAGCCTAACCCTTTTATTAGGTAGCTTAGCAGAAGACTGATTTTAGCTTTTGAGATCCAAAGTGAAGATAAAATGATTCTGTAGGTTTAGAATTCAGTTTATGATGGTTTGCATACACCATTGTATTCTGTAATTGATATCATTAAATATTGTTCCGAAACCAAATGTAGTAGACTAGTAGCTTTCATGGAGTTTAATCATAATTTCTCCCCTTATTCACCCCTGCATTTCTCTGTTTTCATTGATATATGCTGAATTAAGCTTTTTAATGCTCTGTGTGTTCGGGTTTGGTTGTCATATTACTGGTTTAAATTACACTATCAACGTAAGATACACAAGTAATACTTGTCATAAAATATACAAGTAAGACTGAATACTGATGTTTTACAGCTAGTAAAGCTGCATGCAAAAACCTGCATAAGATGTTTTATCTAGCACTTCTATTCTTTTAATATGACTTCTTTTGATGACGAAGTTAACGAAGGAATTTGAGGATGACTTCGCATTATTTTAGACGATACAACTATATTAAATGTTGTCAAAATTTGAGTCAGAAACCTTTTACATGACATATTTGGTATCTACTCTGCATCTTTGTTTTCTTACTGTCAATCTGCTTAACTTTTAGGATACCAAAATGCTGTATTTTTTGATTAATTTTGACTATCAGCATGTGAATCTTCCATGGACTTTATAATGTTTATAATTATCTTATTACCACCTTCTTCAAAGATTAAGTAGCTACACTAGCTAGCACATTAACAATGAACTAAGGTGGAGGGGTTCGCGACATGGTATTGGGTACGGGCATACAACTTTACGAGCACGATATGGTTACACAAAATTTTGGCATAGCTCAATATGTGCACGAGCTAGGCATGGCATGACAACTCACAACATAGTTGGAGTTACGACATGAGTAAATAATGCAGTTCTCCTTCCGGTTAGCTGGTCTTTGACTGGATGGAAGCATGTTTGTGAACTAATGCATTAACACTGTCAATCTAAAGTAACATGAATACTCCAAAAGTCCAAATGCACCCAAACCTCTACTCACTTAATATGTACGATTCTACATTTAATAGAGTTTTCTTAGAACTCATGGTTAATGTTTCATCTTGGACATTATTCTAGGAATAGATGTTCGATCCCCAAAATACTCCTTTGGCTAGAGACCTTATTAAGTTCATGGTTCCTTTAGTAGTTATGGAGTAGACATGCTTTTATTGTTCTATAAGATTGGGGGCATTTCATTTCTTTTGGTCATTTTTAGTATTGAAATAACAATAAAATTAATTAGTTATCTTGAATTCTCGAGAGAATGTTATTTTCTTAAGACATTAGTATAGTAAGTGTATAACATAAAATTTTCCAATTAATGTTTTTAAGTGCATATAGAGCCACATTAATTAGTGATGTAGACGGGATTCCATCCCATGTCTTAGATGCTAATCTAGCCGACATCCATGACAAATTACATTGATATGTTAAGATAAGTTTGCTAAAGATGGAATATCTAGATTAGGATGATTCGATTTTCATTACAATGAATCAAGATCATGATATTATTCTCTAATACTTTTTCTTAAAGATAAGATGAAAGAGTTTCCAGCTGACGTATTGATTAAAATAAATGAAGATCATGATATTATCTCTAATACATTTTCTTAAAAACAAGATGAAAGAGCTTGGAGGTGAAAAGAATAAAACCCAAATTAACTTTATCGATATTAATAAGAGTGTGCCTCTCGTGCTACACATAAACTCGAACCTTATGAGGTAAAAAACACAGGCACAATCAAATCCAAGTAAAAGTATCTCATCATATAAACTCATGAATTGGTTTTGTCTCGAACCCCTTGTTTCATAAATATAAACACAACTTCTATCACACACTCTCTCAAGTCTAACCCCAACCACCCTCATTTTGGGTCCATGGTACTATAGTACTATTATTCTTGAATTATAACCATTGGACCATATATTATAATTATGCAAATATATTGTACTATAAAGTTTTTGAGTGACCCCTTATTATTCCCTTGTTTTAAAGTCATTTTCAAAGTGCTACTTTCATAGCAATAATATGTGACAGAACTGTTTTGCCTTAATGAAACCAAGCTATAAATCTGCACATAAAAATCCAAACTTAGTTGAAAGTGATGTTTATTTTTTATATTTTTTTACCACTGTTACACTTCCGCACCTAGGGTAACTTGTCCGCATTATTCTTGTGAATGCGCAAAATTTGTAGTAACAAGTTTTTAAAGTTGTTCAGTAGTGAATTTTATTGTAAGTTGAACATATGGTTTTAAAATTGTTCAAATAATTGAGACTTGTTCAAGAGTTTCAACTTGGTTGAATATAATTTAGTGATCTCTGTTTTTTTGTCTTGTGAAGCTTGGACAGCTTCCCTAATTTGGTTCATGAGAAGTAATGGCTACACTTTTGCTTTGCGGAGTTGGGTTTCACACTTTAAAATTGATTCCTACACTTTTTTTTTTCAGCGTGTGTTTTCACTATTAGTTATGGACGGGCAAAATTTGCTTTTGAATTCTTGTTTTTGATATATCAATTCGACGTCAATCATATTAAACAAGTGGCCAAAATTTTGTCTGATCAAGCTCTAGTGTGAGACGATCTCATACCTGAAATGTATTTATATACATTGTCATCACAAAATTTGCTAATTGGTCATTTAATACCCTAAATTTGTACTGAGTAGCTCCTTATGATACAATCGTCTCACACAACAAATCAAAATTACTTAGTTAAGCAATTAAGCCTCTATCCTTCACGAGTTGTAAGAGTATTGTGTCATTGACATGGTACAACAATTGTACACTTGTTAATTAAGCGTTGTGGTGTTGACGTGGTACAAGGTCACAAAACGAATGAACCAGTCGTGTTCGTATATGATTATATGTCGATTTTGGATTATTCACTAATTATATCAACAATTATGTAAAAGTACGTAGTATAATGGCAAAATATGAAGATATTATGTAATGGGGTTAGATTGATTCGAGTTCATGTAGATCGGGTTTAAATTACTTTTCATAAAACGATTGACGTTTAAGTGTTGTGTCAGAGATTGTCAACTCTATTTATACTATAAGAGTGTAACCAGACATACTCGCGTACCCATGAGATTTAGATATGTGTAGTACGCACATACTTACAAATGTACAATATGTTATAGATTCGAATCATGCGTCTTCTCCGATCTTATTTATAATGCCCTTGTAATTCATTCAGACGATAAAAAACCAACGTGTGATGCTTTTATTAGGAGCTTCGCGTGATCGGTAACATAGATATCCAAGCCATCTGCAATGAAGACAAATAATAAAAGGCATCTAATTAGTGGTGCATGTAGTTTTAACCAATCTATTACTGTATTTTCCCTGTTTCACTTAACTCTCTTCAAATGTTGTGCCAAGAAAGGACGTTATAACGACATATACGATGGAGTTGAAAAGACTATCTAGCACGAGTAGTGCATGACTCATATATATGCCCTAATTTCTGACTTTCGTGTTTTGAGTAACAGTGTAATTTAGTATGTTCTTGAAATTTGTTATTGTCGGTTTGTTCTCAATTTCATGAAAATGCATGCATGCGTTTTTTTTATGCCTCTTATTCTTCAATTGCAACATATTTTGATGTATGAGACAATGATTATTTTGTCAATATTAATGCATGTAACTCATCATATAGTAGTCAAATTCTATGAAAATGAAAGGAAATCCCAAGGGAATTATTTAGACTATTTAGTTCACAACTCACTAGTAGTTATTTAAAGCATTATTGTAATAGTTGTTGATTTGATTTGGTCCGATTTTGTCTGATTTAGTTATGTAGCTTGGCTTAATTTGATGTAATTTTCCTCCAAAAACAAAGATTTATATTATATTTAACAAGTTTGTTTTAGATGCGACATTGAGTTACAATATAGTGGAATTTTAGAAGATTAAATTATGTTTTCGGAAAAGTCCTATTATTATGAACATTAGCGACACTTAAACTTTAAATTTCCTTAAAAACATAAATTCTTTACCAAAGCTATATAGAGCATATACTCCATAAGTCTTTATCATATACTAACGATTAATTGGCCTACTAGTGACAAAGTTTGAGGGTCAGTATGTAATAGGGGTGCAAATTTGAATTTCACCTCCTTTATTTGTAATTTGTAATATCTTTGTGCCTCATATGGACCAACTAACATAGTTGATACTAAACGATTTGTCGTATGTTGTAGACTTGGGCTGGGGTACTTGGCAGTTGGCACTCACCATCACATAGAGCTGCTTGATAGCAACTATCCATATCATGTACTGTTCTGCTTCTAACATGAATAATCACCCAAAATCCAGCTTTACTAGCGCCCAAGAGTGGTAGGATTAATTTGATGCTGATAGCTACAAGTACATACCAAGTATTTTGTTAGTTTTGCCTTCCTGTGGAATATCAAATTACCAATATAAAATATGTAAGCGATAAAGAGATACAAATTCTAGCTAGTGGGTGTTTGTTTAGTTGAAATATTAATTAGGGATTAGGGATTAAAGATAAACTCACATGTTTTTTTAAGGGTATTATTATGTTACCAATTTACCATAAGATGTGTATTCATGGAGAAATTGGCAACAAAATGACCATTTTGTTGTTTACAAAAAGAGAAAGTATTTGCAAAGGTATTTTGAAAAATCCGTTCTAGATATACTCCTATCAATATCATAAATAATACGGAGTATAAGATTATGACAATATTCACAGTATATAAATTTCTAATAACGTTCAGTTCACAAAATATCCATTCGATCCTATGTTAGTTCGCAAAGTTTTTATTTGATCATATTTTGGTTCACGTCGATCATATTTTTTTTTGTAGAATGAACTTCGAGAGCCTGTTCTGTATACCCGGGTGTATCTTCCTCTAGGTACATCCAGGGGCATATTCGTAATTTTCCGATTAGTTTGCCTGGCTGAACTTTCTTCCTCTTTCGTCCTCGTTCCAATCAAACTTTCTCATAACACTTACTCGCCAAATCAAACTTCCTCATCTCATGCCAAATCAAACTAATCTTTGCGAGAATCAAACCAAATCAAATTATTCCTCATCTCATGCCAAATCAACCCAAATCAATTTTCTGATTAGTGACGGAACTCCTTCAACATCACCGGCGGTTGTGAGAATGTCGTCGGCGGCTTGCTAGAGCTCCACGTCTCCTTTTACGCCGGCCAGTTCCAAGGTTGGTAGCTGAGCTTCCATAGCTGAAGCTTGATCGATTTGGAGAAGGAAGAAGGACCGAGTTGACTTAGTTGAGTCAGACGTTGTCGAAGCTGAGGATCGGAGAGAGAGAGAGGAAGGTAAGGGAGAAGTTTTAGGAGAGAGAAGCAAATTTGATGATAATGATGTTGAATCAAATTACAAAGAAGAGGAAGATGATGATGGGTTTTTCAAATTTCGTAGAGCTATTCGCAATACTATTGATGACGACGACGAGTCAAATAATGTTTTGCTCATTTAATAAATGGGTAATAATTATTTGCTCATTTGTTGATTGAATGAGCAAATGACCCTTTGTGTATGGTACACCCAGGTACATAACACAATTTTCCAATGAACTTCCATTTGAGTTTACCAAAGACCTCATAATAAAAAAAATTTGGGACTTGTTTCAATAATTTTTTTTTTTTTTTTTTTTTTTTTTTTTTTTTTTTTTTTTTGTGCATGCATCAGTTCTTGCTACTTATGTACGAATTTTGAGGTGTTTGACATGAATCATATGATATTAGTTGAGTTAAATCTCCCTAACCCATGCATGCATGTACATAATATAAAATCACATTTAGATTAATTTTCTGTAGTGATTTTTAGCATTCCAAAAACCTTGTTTTTGACATCTTTAAAATCTCTATTGTGGTGAAAGCAAGTGAGGGTGCTGTAATAATAACAATAATCTACACTTACAACAACCTACAACACATTTTGTCAAAAAAAAAAAAAAAAAAACCTACAACAATGTTATAATTATAACGATCTTGCTAACGAGCGTCCTAGGGCGTTAGATAATTAATGAATACATTGTTTAAAATAGTATAAAGTTAGGAATGCATGCATGACAAAATCACGCGTTGTTCAGTGTAATTAATGTTAGTTTTACTCTAATATTTTCACTTTTAGTTTTCTTATCTAACGCCTCGGGAGCGCTTGTTAGTTTTTGCCTAATTATAATGTTTCATAATATTGTACTGTATTATTATACATACTCAGTCGAGTACACCTAACTCATTCGCTCTTTGAAAAACATAACCTTAATCGAATTTATTTCTAAGTACATTCAGAGGTTAGATTTAATCCGTAATTACAATGCGAATTATATAATACACTAGCTTATACTCCGTCCCCGTACCTAGCCAGGAAATATACGAGTAGTAGTAGTATGGTCCATAGTTATCTATAAGGGTTGGCTTAAAAAAGTCATCCAATGGTAACTACCAATTCAATAAAACTTTGAAAAAGGAATTTCTTGGATTCCTTTCAGCCAAAAGGCACTGAATTGGTGAATCTAATGCTACCCTTAAGTATTAGGAGTACATTACTACATTTTTCTGTATAAAAAAAAATAAATAAATAAAAAATAAAAAATAAATAAAAATAAAAATCAGTGTTCTCAAGTAATAGTTGGACTTGTTAGAAACTTTATAGTAGATTCTGAATTCAGGAGGTTTTGGCATTTTTATTTGTTTCCCTACTTTATTGCTGACAGACTAAAAGTCATACATAGCATTATAGTTCATTTGACAGTTTTCTGCACCCCTATTATGTCATTTTTTTTTAAAGATTTCAGTGGCTTTTTGAGTGATATAACAAGAAGTGGGCCATAAAAATAAAAAAACCTACAAGTTGGCATTTATTGTTATTTTCTCTTATTTTGTAATTATTTTTACATGTAAATAAATTTTTTGAGGAATAATTTTTGTTTTTGAAAGAATTTAATGTATATAATACTTGCACCTAATCTTTCACAAATAATTTTCTTGGATTTATTTTTAAAATGTCAAAAAAAAGTCCATAATTTTTTTTTAGCAAAAATAAAATACGTGATGATCAAAATGAAATTTTTTCCATGCAACCCATGTGATTAGGGGTGTTAAATCTATCTGGACTAGAAAAGTATACCGAAAAAAATCTAACCTATTGGATCTCAGATTGATAAATACAAGTAAATTTTTTTGTCTCCATTCCCCTCTAATCCAAAATCATTTAAAATTGGTGTAGAGCCTAACCACATTTTTACTTAAAATCATGCATAAAACCTCTAAAATAGTTAAAAGTCTCTTAATATGTTAGGAATTGTAATACTATGAGCTCTTTTGTATTAGGATTTTAAATAACATCAAACAATTACGAAGTAATTTTCTTTTACTTTTAGTATTTTCCATATTATTGTAAGACTAGGTGAAAATTATAGAAAAACTAGTTCGTGTTTTGCCGGTTTCATTAATCTAGTCTTAGCATAACCGGCCTTGTCTATGGGCTTTAAATTTATATTTTCAGTTTTGGTCCGGTCCAATCTTAGCTTGTGCATGTGATGTAAGTAAACTCTTTTACTAATTCTTTTCGCTCTCACATTCTCTCTCTTTTTTTTTGAACGGACATTCTTATCCGACCATGTTAAATTTCTTAATATGCATGTCCAGATCTAATAAGATGATTAATCGGAACCAGAAGGATTTTCTTCTGTTTTTTCTTAAAGGTGGGGTAAGGAGGGCAGGAAAAGAAGTAAATGCTCAAGGTTTATTTTAATGGTATCCCTTCATTCAGCTGATGCAATTATTTCAGGGATTTTTTTCCATGTTTAAAAAAAAATAGGTTGGTCCCACAAGCTTGAGTTTTTATTTTTTTACCTTAGCAAAATATAAAAAAAAAAAAAAAAAAAAAAAAAAAGAAGAAAGATTGAGGAAAATAGAGATGAAGATATAGGTAAATTCATGGGACCTTGTACAATTTGCCAGTTATATGATGGTGTACCTTAGTACTCCTCTGATTCATTCATACTTCAATGGAGTACTACTACTTTCATTTGAGTTTTCAGTTGTATTTTTACTTTTGGGATTTTGTTGATGTTGAGTTTTTACTTTCTCTGTTTCATGCTTTCAGAAATATTGTGTCATGCATTCCATTTGTTTTGTAGATCAACCTCTCTTCATTATACATTTAGGGGACCATGTTATTAATTGAGATTTCAGACTACTTAAACCCTCAAATTTTAAGTTACTGTCTCAAATTAAACTTTATCCGATACTTATTGAACTTCTTTAGCTGTGAATTTAATCAGAAAGCCTAGGTTAGAGCTTGAATGCTCGATCTTGTCTTAGCATCATCTCCTTTTTATTTTTTTTAATTATTTTTTAAAATATAAATTTTTCTCTTCAAGGCTCAATTTAATGACGAGTTAATCAACCACGACGTAACAAAACCTTGTTGTAAATTCAAGTTGGGACGAAATGGGATAAATCCCTCCCTATTAGACTACTAGGAATGCGGGTGACTGGTGCAACTCTTTTCAATAACATTTTCTTCATAAACGAAGTATTTTGGATTTTCATAATACAACTTACATGATTTACTTTGCCCTAATTAGAACCAAATTTTCCCAAAACATTTTTTTAGGTGAAAAAGAACAAGAGATGTAGGATTTACATCAACTACCCTTCTTCAGGAGAAAGTGTGCTGGTATACCTGTCCATTGAGCCCTCATTTGCGGAGCCCAAGTGTGTTTAAATCACAGTAAAAAAAATTCCTATGAAAGCACTAGAGGATATACTATATACTGTACGAAGCATATTCATTTTGACAGATAAGGGAAGAGCACTTGCTTTACCAGAACTAGTTCAAAGGAACTACAAAGAGGCAATCATGATAAACACTTTGAGCATGTTTGGTAAGGGCGTTTTTTTGAGTTGGAAACGAATTCAATTAAATCTTTAATGAACAAGTATTTGATAAGAAGGTTTGAGTAAAAATTACCATTCATACCAAACGGCCCCTAAATTTGACTTAAATCAATGGCATACTTCATTGTTACCCTTAAGTTTAACTCATACTCTTAAAAGTATGCTTAGGGATTATCTAGTTACAACTTACTTGTGCTTGTACTTGTAAACGAACCTATAGGGTCACACTCACAAAGCATAAATTCGATCTATGATTCTATGAATTGTTGATCACAAACATAATAGTTGCAGTTTAGAATGACTTGGAGATAAGTGAAATCACTAGACTAGAGATAAGTGAAATCACTAGATTAAGAGGTTATGTGCATGTATTTAAGGCCACAGCCACAAGGCCGTGGGCAAGGAAGAGACCGTCGATTGATCATAGGTTGACATGCTCTCCTTCCCTTGACATAGTCCTCGAGGCACGTATTAGCATTAGGGTTAAGAAGGTTAGTTACTAGGTTAAAATGCTTTATATAACATAATACGTAGTATGTCTTATGAAGTAATGCTCATTTTGCCTGAACTATTCAATTATTCATACCTAACCCTAAGAAAGACAAATCCAACCTGTGTAAACTTTTGGGAATGATTAATCTGTTTGTATTTTAAGCTAACAATCACAAGGAATTCGAGTATACTATGTAGATACTTACAGGGGAATCAATAATCAGGGTAACTATCTAGAAGTGGTTTGAACCTTTACCATGCAACAAGGATAGAGACAGGCTACACATATGGACCTTGAGGTCTAAGACGACCACCTAAAATTTTAGTTTGGATACTTGGGCCACGACCAAAATATTTTCCCCTCGGTTGTACGTTGTAAGGCTGAGATTTTAGACAATGTGACTAATTTCGGACAAAGGGAGCAATCCACACCCCCCCCCTCTTCCCTCTTACAGGAAAGCTGGAATAATAATGCAAAGCAATGAAGAATTACAATAGACTGTCATAAGGCAGCTGCGCTCTGAGCTCTTGGATTGATTAGCTTAGATTAAAGAGGCGTAAACACTGTTGGCTGAAATATGGATTTAATTTTCCTTACAAACAAAGAGCATTTGAAATGGTTTCTGCAGTTAACAAAATCAACTGATCAGTGTCCCCAAACACAGTTATAAGATTAAACAGTCTCAACTGAGGTAGAAGAATTGACTACAGAAAGCTTTTTGTCTTTGATGTCATAACATCAATTTGTGAATCTTCCTGTTTATCTGTTACAGCAGTGATTCTTAATGACAAATTTTCAGGACAGAGTGGGGAGACCAAAACACTCCCATATGCACATAGATGACACATTTTCCATTATCAACCTCCCCCACCTCCTCAAAAAACCGAAGAATGACAGGGGGAAAAAGAAGAAATCACATTTTTAACTGGGTGTGGGGGTTTATACACTGTTGTATTCGCGGTGAATCAAATACAAGATGGACCTTTCATCAGATCGTTAATTTGTTAGCGGGGGTCATACAGCTCATTTGGTTCCTTCAAAATTTACCTCCTTTGAGTTACTTGAAACAAAGACGAGATATAGCCATATTGTACCTTTCTTAGGAGACAAAACACTGTTTGTACTGATGTTTTTCTCATGGAGGAGCTGAGCTGCTTGACTGCTTTGCCTCTGTCATTTCAAGTTCAATTCCGTTTGTATCCGAGACTTTCTCTTTCTCTGTCGCCATCTTTCTGATCTTATCAAGCCGTATAGCCTGCAGCTCATACCTGACAATTAGAAGGGGATCACTTTAGTAAAGAGAATACATCGAATTAAATACAATGCACCATTAATAGTTTCCAATATGTACATATTCTGTATTTCATAGATATTTTTGGGTGCTTCCAAAGTAAAATTTTCATCATGTACAAGGAAAGGTGTAGCTGCTTTGTTTTAAAATGTGAACCTTGATTTTTAGTTAAGAGTTGCCAGCGTTGCTACTAGCCATTAAAACCACACTTATACTTTGCTGCGCATGATCAAAGAAAATGGCAGCTTCAGATAGCTACTGGTAAATCTAAGGATGAGTACATCTTACTCTGTCACGTAGCTTTTAACAAGGCTGAAATATATTCTCCAAAATTGACGTTCCTTCATGTGGCGAGGACATAATGTGTATCTTAATTGTGACAATTCCTGTTGATAAGAAAACACCTGCATCAGAAACTCAATAGAGGTTGGAAGTAGGATGATCCGTTACCCTCTCCACCCTGGAAACAGTAAAGGTTTTTATTAGCAGAAGCTAGCATGAGATTTGGTGTTGTTTCACGGTGATACTGTCGGCTTTGGTCTGGTAATTTGAGACTAACCTTAACTTCGACATGTTTACAGAGAAGTAGCAAATTATGCCATCGATGAGCTTTTTTTGCATATAGAATGGTTTTAACTTGGTTTGATTTATTAAAGTTCAAAAGTTAAGGTATGGTAAAATTATTAGCTCATGATTAATATTTTATCAGCATTAGAAGTTAAAAAAATAGTTTGCAAGTATAGATGTATAATGGTTCAACATGTGGGTAAAAGAGAATCTTACATAAGATGGGTGTACAGTAAGATCAGGCAATTTCTAATAGAATACAGAATGAAATTTTATGAGGCATGCAGCTTGGCTAATAAACAAGAATCTGCGTCAAGCATCATGCATTGTAGAAAAAAAGTCATTAATCAGAAAGAGAGTGCTGTTGAAAATATGCTAAAATTTCAAGGTAGCTTAAAACAGAACCAGAAGTCACAGGTCAAGGGTAAATCATAGGTTGAGGGCAAATCATTCAAATCTTGGCCCAAATAGAAAAGAATAGAAAAGAGGAAATAAACAAAAAGTTCAGGAACTGAAGAATAAATGAAAGGGGATCTGTGCGAACAGCCTATCTTACATTGTTCCTATACTTCCTAGATCAATTTCCCCACAGCTTGATATTCTCAACCTAAAGACCAATGAGTCTGCTATTACAGCACTCGCATGATGTAAGACTGAAAAATGGACGTGAAAACAGCATAATAATAAAAGCTAATTGTAAAATTTGTTCTGAACTTCCTATACTAGACTGTGAGTATTGAGAAAAGAGAACGAATAAGGAAAGCATTAGTGATGGTCTCTGACTGCAAGTGGGTGTAGTCACTGTAGTGTAATTTTAGACTGATGGCTTAGAATTGAATTTCAGATTTCCATCCAAAAGCAATTACAAACAGCCAATTAGAAGGGTTTCACTTTAGTGCTGATATGCTCCACAATGGAATTTATACTCAATTTCACTCATATTCTGTAATGCAGAAAGCAGTGAGACTAGATTTGTTACATCATCAATATCAACATTATCCTAATGTTTTCAAGAGGCTATTTTCAAAGGCAAGCTAGACGGGTCAGATACTCAGATTTATGCAACCTTATTCCGGCAATGACATAGGAAGTGTTTCCGAATTGATCCTTGATCCAATGTGTGCAATGACTGTCTACTTCACGATTAGAAAAAAGAGGAGACACTTTAGTAAGCCAGCCCTCTGCCAAGTAATGATACTAAAAGGGCTAGGTTTAGATCAATGAAGGATAAAGCAAATTCCACCCCTCTAGCTATATTATTATTATTATTATTAATATTTTAGTAGTAGTAGTAGTAGTAGTAGTACCTTAACAAGTAACAGGAACAGGCTAACGACAACGTTAAAACCCTATTCATGTGATGATAAAGCCTTTCTACAAACTGCAGCCCCAAAAGCTGGGAGGTTATAAGGATATTTCTATGTATTGGCCTTGGGCCGGGCTGGCTGTTAGTTTTGGCCTTATCGTCTGATGAATGGTCTTGTTTCTTGAATATCTGAGTTAATACATAAACACTAAACCTTGAAATCTCTTCTCACTTAACAATTGCCAGTATCAACCCCCGAGGCAAGCTCTGAGAAAATACAAAAGTCCATTCCTATACAAAAAATCACATCTCTATTGATGTCCCAAAAAAATGGCCACTTTCTGTAATTAGTAAACTTCGAACATTCCTATATTAACCTTAATGATACTCAAAACAATGAATCTTCAAGGATGATTACATTGGTATGATGAAAAGGTAAAATTTTCAAATATTGATGGATATATCTAGTATGTATACACAAGTTAAGTTAGAATTTGGCCATTTGGGTACTTTACTCAACCTTTTCTTTCAATCAATTGGCTATTGAATTTGGATGGTGTCAACTTCCAATAATTTGCATGGAAACAAAAAGGTGCAATACAGCTAAACATCCAAAACCAATTGATTTTTTATTTTGGGTTGATCCTTCATTAAGGCACTGAAAAGGCGAAAAAGTCTTCAAACCAATTGCAAACATCTTAATAAGTAATGGAAATGCAGATACATTGACTTATTAAGATGGACCTGTAGTGCTCGGGAGTTCAAACTAACGAAACTTAACACCATCAAACTTCAATACCCAAATGGTTAAAAGCGAAGGTTGAGGAACCCATTGCCTTTTTTTTAAAACTAAAAAATAAAATAAAATATTTATCTCAACTCAATTTTTTTTTTTTTTTTTTTTTGGAAAAAAATCTCCACTCAGTTTTATTCAATGCATTAAATGATCAAACGTGGCCTATCAATTAGGTACAAGGGGAGCATTGTTGAGGCAGATTTCCTTTCCAACTCAATCCCTTCATACAAATTACCAAATCAGGAAAACAACTAGATGGATACAAGGAAAGCACTCCACAAGACTAAACAGCAGTAAACAGATTCTAGACATTATCTGCACGGAACCAAACCCAATCTTGATACCCTGGCATATGCAAAAGCTGTTCTTAAAAGAACAAATCAGCAATTTACCACAGAAAACACACAAAGGCCATTGGACAAAAAGGGTGACTAAGCTTCGATCTCAACTATCAAAATTCTAGCACAGGATTAATCAATACCTCAGCACCAGGAGTGCAGAAACTATGCTAATATCTCTGTTTACAGTACTTTCCTAATGGTAAATATAATGTTCACATCTGGAAAGCAGAGCCAGCTGAAATGGGTAGATATTCTACTACTTCACCTAACTAGGTAAACCAAATGTTAGTCTACAACAAATTGTAAAGCTACCCGTCTATAACCATACAATAGTTAGTAATCAGGGTCTAAAACCTCAACTATCTGAAACAAAATTTGAAATTGGGGTCAACATGAGCCTCCATTTCACTTTGTGTATACATCAGTATATCCTCCAAAGATTGAAAAACAATTAATTTCTCCTGATTCTCCTTTTTCTGATCTTCAAATGAGAATATGAAAGACTCAATGACTTACAATCCTAGTACTTATTTCAAACAAAAAGGCATGTGATGCAACGACGAAAAGTTAAACCACCATAAGACCATCTCCATTGGTGAGACTCAACTTTGAGTATTAAAATACAAAATGAGTTGTTTTTTTTACCTCCAATAGTGACACCCAACCCACTTCTCAATTTAGCAACTCATGTGAGGTCTATTATTGAGCTAGTAATGTTAATTATTCTATTATTCTCTGAATTCTGATACGTGATAATTACTCAGCTGACGTGTGTATCGTTTTGTTGTGCTACTTGTGTTTGTGGCCATGTCTTTTTCTTATGGTGGCCCTGCAACAATCTATTTTGGAATTTGTCCTTAATGGTGATCAAGTGATCGTAGCTAAAGGAGCTCTATTATTCGATTAGTCTGACATAACGAGTTTGTAAAGTTTTATTAATAGCTCACTTAGATTTATTGGGTTGTATTGTTGGAATTTTGTAAGCCTTAACACTTGACAGGTTCTTAAGTGTGGTGGTAATATCTCCGATTTAATTTTATGCTTCCACGATTTTATTTAAAGATTGTTTATTTTTCCTTTAATTATTGTTTATTATTAGCTAGTAAATCGGGGGTGTTACATATAGCCTCCACCGCCGCCGCCTTCTCGATCTTGCCAGCCTCTCAATCCTTGTTCTTGATTGTTGTTCCTCTGGTTAACGAGAGTGCGGAGTTCTTCAAAGAACTGAGCCTGGGTGGTAGTGTTTACCGTCATTTGCGCCTCCTGTTGCTGGCGGAATAGCTCGAACCGACCCTCGATTTTTTGAACGGCTTCCTCTAAGGATGTCTTAAGAGACTCCTCTTGAGCCTTCATCGTGGTTTCCAACGTCTCCAATTGAGTCTGTATTCCGACCATCTGTTCCTCCAGCGCATGCAGTAAGAACCATTTTTTTTTTTTAAAAAAAAAAAAAAAAAAAAAAAAAAACAGAGGGTGGTGGTTACTGGCGTTGGCAGCCGCAGGACCGCCGCTTTGATACCAATTTATAACGAATTAGATGACTTAAAAGATTAAGTGCACAAAAAGGCAGGAAAAAATTGTTTAAGGGAAGTTGGATGCTATTTCATTCATTAATAAAGATCTAAGCTTTCTTACAAGGAGGCTTGAGGCCACCACTCTCCTTAGTGCCTTTAGGACACCAATCTCTACTCCCAAAATGACTACAAAACTCAGCTACCTAAGCAAGTTCCCACCTCCCCTTTTTATATACATACTCAGCCAAAATAGGATAAAGACAAAGTAAGAAGGCTGCAGCTAGCTGTCATCATTTGAGAGGATGACTGCAGTCATTGGCTGCTCTCAATGATTTGTGTGTGCTGATCCACTCCCTGCTGCTGCTCCACTATCCCCTCCCCTAGCTGTACCTGCTGTCCTTTCCTTCTCCTTCTTGTGTATGTGATCAACCCCTTAGGCTTGTTGCTCAAAGCATTCGTTACAGTATCCTTTGCAAAAAAATACTCTTTCTCTCCTAAAAAAACTCTCTCAAGTCTCACCATTGGAGATGATCTAAGCATCTTAAGAAATCTTCCCACTTCACTGAATGGAAAGCCTTAAAATTGTAAATAAAACAAAGAGACCATAAGCAAAAGGACGATACCTCTATAATCGAACCCTAAAGAATACTACCGCATCAGTTATTTAAGTGAGGCACTGGGCTATTGGGGAAAAAAAACCAAGATACCTGTTGGGAATCAGCTCAGATCAGTGATCAAAATGAAGAGACTAGGACCGAAAAGAGAGATTAAGGGACGAAGAAGAGAGATTAGGGAAGAACAAGTAAAGATATAACTAAATTAATGCTAACCAAGGTGATTAATCACAAATAACAACATTGCCAATCTTTCGAGAGGAATGGCACTCTCCCAAAACTACAAACTAAATCACTCATCACAATATTCTATTCCTTCCCTCTCACTGATCAGCTCTCTTTCTATAGAGTTCTCCCTCTAACTAACTAGCTTATCACCTAAGCAACTAGATCATAATCCAAGGACCTAAAAGGCCCCTCCCTCTTTTATCAATTCATAGCAATATAAAGTTAACAACTTCTTCCAAAGACAGTTCACTATAGGCCTTTTGAGCTTCCAAACAAATTGCTTTCCTTCTCAAATTTTTGGAAAATAGCAGTAACATCCCTCATAAATCATCTTACAACCATCTTATGGCACCCTAGAGTCTAAATCCTCATCTCTTTGCAAGAAAAAGCTCCTAACAGAATAAAAAAAATTGGTCTAGATAGCTGCCTACTCTGCAAATGTTTGTGTTATTGTTATACAGAGTAACAGAGATAATGTCCTGTTTAGCAGTATCATTGCTGTTATTGAAATTTATTTTCAGTTAATTATAACTTTGATGAACATAAGTTTTGCACTTCAATTTCAGAGATTTTAATAGATGTCCACGAATAAATATAGGATATTTGATGAATTTGGTTTCATTTGAAGCAGTTACTTGGTAAATTTTACTCCAGCAGAATAGCAGGATATAGATTTTTCAAATATAAGTCCTTCCTACAGACCTATTGCGGACTAAAGCAAGTATCTTTACCTTATTATAGCTTTCTCTAATCATGATTTTCAATGTAGAACAGTGCATACTCTCTTATTCCATAAAAGTTACTTGCTTATCTTAAAGAAAACATGATATACTTTACTATAGTTGAATCTAACTGAAAGCCTAAGTTTTCCACTGCTCTCACCTTCACTCCTCTCCTATTTTCATAGTCTTTACTTCACAATTCAAAATGTAGGCATGCATCTTACATCATATTCGCTGGTGCAAATCCTACTTCTGCAGCTTCTATTCACAATTCCATCTCTAGTTTTGTTCATTCTATCATGCTCATATTTCCACCTCTAATCTTCAAACAATGCCTCTTCCTAACTTGTTATCCTTTTGGTGGCAACATTCATGCAAGGTTTCCATCCTACATCCAAGTGTCAAGCCAATCAGAGTTTTTAGTTGCTTGTCCTATCGGGATTCCCGCAGGGAGGGGGGGTGGTGTTCATGTGTGTGAGTTGGTGTGAGCTCACACCTGGTTGTTATAAAATTGTAACCTTTAGGAAACTCCATGGATATAGCCCTTAAGCTATTTTCCTTTTCCCCATTAAGATGCTATAATTGTCTAAACACCGCGATTTCACCAACCCTAATGTTTCTACCCAACCAAGTATCAAACTAAGCACAATCAACATACATAATCCATCAAAACAATTACAACCATCACAAGCAAAGGTAAATGCTCATGAAATATACCCAACAAACAACATAAACCATCTATAATTACCATAATTTGAATTCAAAAAGCACTAACATAAAAACCATCAAATTCCACACATAAATAACAAGCATAAATGATCACAATTCAATGAAATTTAAAAACAAAAGGGAGTTTGATGAAGGATGAATAAACCTTGACTTTTGAAAGAATAATAATGGCATGCTGTTGTTGCCACTCCGATAAATCCACCCTAACTCCACCTGAAGTTGTCTGTATTCCACCATTCTCCTCCTCTGCAACAACCAACCAATTAACAAATGCGCAAAATTCTTCAAACCCCAGAAAAGCAAAATTGATCAAACATCTAAATGACATAAACCCAAATCATAAAACAATTAACATAACAAAAATTGATCGAAAATGACCTGGGATTGAGAAATTCTTGAAGGTGTCGAGATTTAATGATTTGACGAATTCAATCAATTGAGAAGTAACCCCATAAAATTCATCTTCTTCAATTTTTCTGACAGTATTATTGTGATTTGCGGAAGTATTTGAAGTTTCCAATTTCTGGGTGTTTTCATTGTCGTTGCTGATATTTCTCGAGAGGGTCCGACGAAACCATGAATACATGGCGTTCTCTCTCTTCTGTTGCTTGTTTTAGATGGAGAAGTGAAGAACGATGATGAACAACAGAGCAACTGAACAAAAGTATTCAGAAATTCGATTGGACTTGATCCATTACAAAGCAAATAAGACATTCTCAGGAGAGTGTTGTTTTTTAGATCCAAACAATAAAAGTTGGCCCAATATATTCTTACCCAACATACCTCTTTTTGTTTCCATTTTTTTTATTTTTGGGTGGAAGGATGTGCGCAAATATGATGATGGAGACTATGCATAAAGCTGAAGGAGTGTCCTCGATCAAGTATAGCAATTACTAAATATAATATAGAATTAATTAAGGAGATTATTAATTCGGTTATTTTAGGAATCGTAATGTTTTGCTAGAAATCAACTACGATTTGCAGGCCTGTTATTTAATGGGCTTGCTGCTAATTTAATCGGATCCTATAAGGTCACACATAAAAGCACGAGATGAAAAGTACACTAAGCCCAATAAAGGTTAAGTGGACGGTTTTATGAGGAGTCATTAATCAGTTAGGTTTTCTGCTCTTGTAACCTAATAATTTCTATATATTGGGCTATTACTGTGTATAAGATACACAATTGTACAGAGTGAAAAACAACGTAAAAATATTTCTCATAGAACTGCTTCCCTAAAAGTGAGAAGAGTGAAAAGTATCTTCCTCCTTCTTCCGTACTAGCATACGTGGGATTCATCTCGGGTTTTGTGGACCAAGTAGAGGAATCACAATTGAGGTTCTGGATCTCCGAAGGAGGGTAATCTAAGGCTAACGAGGAGTACACGCATCAAAGGTATATCTAACTACTTTATGTGATTCGTATTATTTATATGCATGAGATCCTGTTTTAGATGCTAAGAAACTGTTTCTTGAAATTCCGCTAAGTGCATCTATTATAATCCTACAGTTAGGGGTGTACAAAAATTGGCCCGGACCTGAAACCGGACCTGAACCGACCTGAACCGGACCGGACCTGACCCGGACCTGTTGATTCAGGTCCGGTCCCGGTTCTTAAAAATCCAGGTTCCCGGTCCCGGTCCAGACCCGGTCCAAACCAGGGGTTTTTAGGTCCGGACCTGAAACCCGGGAAAATCGTAATTAAAAAAAAAAAAAAAAAAGAAAAAAAAAAGAAGAAAACCAAACTCTGAAAAATTGAAACTGAGTTTTCGTGGACTTATTTGTATTTTCGGTGGACTCATTTGTATTTTTGGTGTTTGAGAATCGGGACTTTATAGACTTTATGTAGTTTTGTAATTGATAATTTTGGTTTGTATGTAATTATTAAATTATGCAACAGGTCTAAAAATCACAAAACAGGTCCATATGCAGGTCCAACAGGTTTTGTATTAAAAAAAAAAACGAAAAAGACACAAAACAAGTCCATTCAGGTCCAAACCCGGACCGGACCTGATTTTTCAGGTCTGGCCCGGCACCGGACCTGTTAATTCAGGTCCGGTCCCCGGTCCTCATAATTACCCAATTCAGGTCCCCGGTCCAAACAGGTCCGGTCCAGGTCCGGTCCGGTTTTGGACCGGTGTACACCCTTACCTACAGTGGTATCAGTTTGCCTCTTACGTATAATAATATGATCATAATTAATTCGATTAATTTGATGCGAATATTGTTAATTTTAATTCGGTTAAGGGGAGGAATTGATTTATGGATCATATAACCTTATTAAAATGTGTTTTTGATTGATTGGAATTGACTAAATTATGAATTTAGTTACTCAATTAACCTCTAACCCTAGCCGTTTGTTTTAAGCCCTAAATGCCCAAATTAATTTTCTGTTTTTTTTTTGTTGGGTTATGAACCCTAATTTCGAAACTTAATGTATTAATTTCATATGATTTAATTTAATTTCTCATACTTCAAAGTGTTTGGTGTGATGAATTAATTCATAGAAAATAGTTTTATATGAATTAGAAATTGAATTTTATGAAAAGCCCTAAATTAATTAAAATGGAGATTTTAGTTTAATTTATGTATTATTCATAAAATGTTTATGTTTAATTAACATGGATAATTAATTTTACAAAAGTTGTAGAATTAAATTCACTAAAAAAATAAAATAAAAAATACATTAGAGATTGAGTGGGAGCAACCACGGCTGGGTGGCAGAACCACCTGACGGTGGGCCACGGTGGCTGCTCCGGTGGGCTTGGGGGCAGAAAAGGGTGGACAGGGGGTGGCAGTGGTTGAACGTGCAACTGTTGCACAATTCAGTCACTGCGCTGGCTGGTGTGCTGGGCTGCTGCCTGGTCTGCCAGCCAGTGCTGCTGTGGCTGGGCGAATGCCTGGCCGTGGCGGCAGCCTGCTGTCTGCTGCGGATGGGCGACTGTCTGGCTGTGGCGGCAGATGGCTGTGATGTGGCTGGGCAGTCAGCTCAGTCACGCAGTCCCTGTTTTCATTTAAAAAAAAAAAAAAAAAGGAGAAAACCGTTCGTTTCATGTGCTGCTTCATGGTTGCGAATTTACTGGAATGATATTGTTGGTTAGTTTTAATAGTTTTAATAAAAAAAAAAATTTAAATTTTATCATCAGAAGAAGATTAGTTTTTGAAAGGTAGTTGGTCTTTTGCTTTCCTTTTTCTTGGAAAACGTGCGGATGGAATTTAGATGATAGTTGCTGGTCTTGTTCCTGATATTGCGCTTTTCATTAACCACCTTTCAAAGTTGAGTTAAATCCGTGTAACTTGACTTCAAAATTGGATTTTTGACCAAAATTTTAAAATATATGATATTTTATTATATGGCAATTTTAAATATATGATATTATTGTTATTATTGCTGGTGACTAGTAAGGACCATATTAGGATCACCATTTGATTGCATTTTATTATGCCTATTTAAATTTACGCATGTTGCTCTTGTTTATGACATAAGTTCTCTAATAAATTAACCAACATAGTAAATTAGGTTCCTAAAAGCAATATTGAGTTATGTTTTTCCAAACAGACACCTATAAAGCCTTTGATCATAAGTAATAGGTTCTGCCAAAGCGGGGTGTTGCATATAATCTTGGGAATATAGGGTAATATTATGAAATTTACATGTCATTGTTTGTTTTTGCTCAACAAGATTATCAAAAGACAAAGTTTTAGGTCTTGAAACATAGAGATGGAAACAAAAGTTGTTATCTATCGACCAAGAATTATATGAGATATAATTAGTAAAGGTTGTTTACTTACCAATAAAACATTAGATTTTATACATAGGGCCAAAGTCCGCTAAAATTTATTGTTTTAAAGGATCTTGGAATTCACATTAATTCTACGGGACAATTTTTAAATGTGATAATTAGCTTTGAATTGTTCAAACATTGTATGCTACTATGATGAACATATAATTAAATTTTGCTATATTTCTATTGTAGATATCATGTCTAGTAACAACAACAACAACAGTCCTAACTTACGTTCATACCTTGAGAAGGATAAATTGAATAACACAAACTTCCTTGATTGGGAAAGGAACCTAAGAATTGTTCTTAGGGCCGAAGGAAGAGAGGATGTCCTTGACACCCCTATCCCAGTTCTGACAGCCACAACATCAGATGTTGAAAAGGCCAGTCAAAAGGTTGTTAAAGAAAAATCAGTGTTTGTCACATGTCTCATGCTAGCTTCCATGGAACCAAACCTTCAAAAGAAGTTTGATGGTATGGATGCTCATAGCATTATCCAGCAACTGAAAAAGATGTTTCAGAAGCAAGCAAGGATAGAGAGATACGAGACTCATAGAGAGTTGCTCCGATGTGTGCAAAAGATCGATGTACCAGTGGGAGAACATGTCTTCAAAATGATGGAATTGTTCCAGAAAATTTCTAAACTGGGAATGATCTATACCACTGAAATGATCACTGACATAATCATGATGTCGTTGCATGATGGATTTCAGCAATTCAGGCAAAACTTTAACATGCAAAATAAAGTGAAAACCTTAGAAGAACTGCACGGAATGCTCGTCCTTGCTGAGATGGACATTCCAAAACCAAACAAAGAAGTTCTTATGGTACAAAAGGGTAATGGTTTCAAGAGGAATGGGAAGGGCAAAAAGAATGTCAAAGGAAAGGGCAAGAAAGTTGCTCAAACTAAGACATCTAAGCCCAAGGTCGATCCAAAGGCGGATGCCAAGTGTTTCTATTGTGATGGAATAGGCCATTGGAAGAGAAACTGCCTAAAGTATCTGGAAGATAAGAAGACAGGCTCTTCAGGTATCTTTGTTATAGAAGTTAATTTAACAACTTCTACTTCTTGGGTATTTGATACCGGTTGTGGTACTCACATTGTTTCGGATGTGCAGGGCCTAAAAAGAAGTAGAAAGCTGGCTAAAGGAGAGGTAGACCTGCGCGTTGGAAATGGAGCAAGAATTGCTGCTTTAGCAGTTGGAACATATAGTCTACCTTTACCTTCTGGATTAGTTTTAGAATTAAATAATTGTTATTTTGTCCCTTCTATTACTAAAAACATCATTTCAGTTTTCGTGTTAGACACCGAAGGTTTTAGCTTTGAAATAAAGAACAATAGTTGTTCAGTTTATTTTAAAGAGATGTTTTATGCTAGTGCTAAATTAATAAATGGTTTGTATATATTAGATTTTGACAAACATATCTATAACATAGACTGTAAGAAAAAGAAATCAAGTGATTCGAACCCTACCTATTTATGGCACTGTCGTTTAGGACAAATCAACCCAAAACGTATTCAGAAATTGCAAAAGGATGGCATTCTGACATCGGTTGATTACGAATCATACGATATATGTGAAGGGTGTTTGATGGGTAAAATGACTAAGTCACCTTTTACAGGAAAAGGTGAAAGAGCAAGTGATCTTTTGGGACTCATACATACAGATGTCTGTGGACTAATGAGCATTATGGCCAGGGGAGGGTTTAGCTACTTTATAACTTTTACTGATGATTTAAGTAGATATGGATATATTTACTTAATGAAGCATAAGTCTGAATCATTTGAAAAGTTCAAACCCAATTTCAGAATGAAGTACAGAATCGACTTGGCAAAACAATAAAAGCACTACGATCAGGTCGTGGTGGAGAATATTTAAGCCAAGAATTTGATGATCATCTAAAGGGTTGTGGAATACTTTCCCAACTAACTCCACCAGGAACACCTCAGTTAAATGGTGTATCCGAAAGGAGGAATCGTACCTTACTTGATATGGTTCGATCAATGATGAGTCTTGCAGATCTTCCAATATCCTTTTGGGGACATGCCCTCGAAACCGCTGCTTTTACACTAAACAGGACTCCGTCAAAGGCAGTAGAAAAGACACCATATGAGTTATGGACACGAAAAGTTCCAAAATTATCTTTTCTACGAATTTGGGGTTGTGAAGC